CTTGGTTAAAAGGTCACTTAAGTAATGGTTAAGTCTTTGTGGGTTTTGACTTAAGAGAGATAGACGGATCCGTTATCCAATTTTAAGGTAAAAAGAGAATTTCAAGTACGTGTCCTTTAGAAACTGAGTCTTGAATGGCAATTACACATTTACACGGAAACACACACACACACACACACACACACACACACACACACACACACACACACACATGAGATCAATTCAACATGCAAACACAAGTTTATACATATTCTACCACCAACTCCATCCACGAATGTACACACACAAAAAACACACATGCATGCACAGTCCACATATACCATACTAAATACTGAGACTCGGTAGCCTCGGTATATATTAAAGAATTGTGACCGGTACTACACTCAATTACCTTCACTTCCTCAACTACAGGCAGGTACACATTCACAGGTGGGTCGACTAGGGGTGTGGTGTGTGTATGGACCCCCCCCCCCTCCTACTCATCCCATACGTATACATACTTCCATAAAATCATACATATTAACACATAGGAACTAAGTTTATAGTCATACATAAACTCTTAATACACATATACATACACAAACTCATGATATGCCTATACATGCAGAAACACTTATAAAGATACATAAACAGACACAAACATACATACATAAACATACATACACAAACACCCATAAACAAACACATACATTCACAAATGCCCAGAAGAAAATGTATACATGTACACAAACTCACAACATATTATACACAGATATAAACAATAACAGACACACACACACACACACACACACACACACACACACACACTGCGGTCTTCGTGTGAACAGGAATGGATTATAACCACTTAAAAACACGGATTAAAACACCTTTCCTTCGACAAAAAAATGTACCTCGTGAATAATTCAAAGGAGCGCACACAAGCACGTATTGTAAAGAATATGAATTGGAGAGAGAGAGAGAGACAGACAGACACACACAGACAGGAAGACAGACAGGGATGCAGGCAGGCAGAGATAAATAGAAAAGAGAAAAACAAGAGAGAAAGATAATCACAAAAGGAGAGAATGAAAGAAAAACAAAAGGGATAAAATACACAGAGACAGAGACAAACAAAAACAAACACCCAAATAGAGAGAGTGAGAGATAAAAAAAATAAAAACCAGAATAAGACAGAAAGCCAAAGAGAAAGAAAAAGACAGGTATACAGATAAAAGTAGAGAGAAAGTAAGACAGAAGGGAAGGACAAACGGAGAATTGAAAGAGAAAGGTAACTAGAGGTCACTAAGGCATAGAAAACCTCCCAAGAGAGAGAGAGCCAATAAACAGCGGAGAACACAGGAAGCGACTGACAGCCTGAAGGAGGGGGGGTAGGAGGGCGGAACATGCCATTATTATTGACAAAATAGCGAAGCGCAACGGGTGTAACCTTTCATGACCCGTCGGTACCCCTTCTGTCAGTCTATCTGTCTGTCTGTCTGTCTTTCCTCTAGCTAAGTTCTCACTCCCTCCTCTCTCCTTCCTACCACACACACACACACACACACACACACACACACTCCCCTCAGTACACACACACACCCTCCCTTCATCAGATTCCCTCCCCTCACCAACTCCCCTCACCGACTCCCCTCACCCCACACCTTACCTCACTGATTTTACTCACCGTCCATACTGTAACTCACTCCCCTCACAACACTCACCATTACCTCATTAATTACCCCTCACTGCACAGCCCTCCCCCCCCCCATTAATACTTTGCATCAACAGAAGCCATACACACCACGCTTTCCGATACACCATAAACACATCAACATACATCATACGCACCATCCTATCCTATACACCATACAGCATACTCTCTTGCACTATACACCATAAAGTAGTCGACAGTGTTGCCTACTTAGGGTGCCACTAATTTATTACCTAGGTACCCAGACAATTAACCTGGTTTAAAGTATAATGTGTGGGAGGTAATTTATGCTAAGTACCAAACACTGGTAAGTGGGTGTATAATATATATATTGTACAGTATTGGTGGTATTATGTTATTACTCTAAGATGAGGATAAAGATTCACACAGACAGACAGACAGACAGGAAATTATAGACGAACGAAGAACTCCTGAAGTGACAGGTGAAGATCAGGATGAAATAATAAACAGATAAAACAAAATATTTCCGAGCATAATAATGTTAGAGCCAACCCTGTACAGGATTCGACTCTACGTCATCAGACCGCCATACTGAGGCTTATATCACTCGGCCACCTGCATGGTATATAAGCCTCAGCATGATGTAGAGTCGAATCCTGTACGGGGTATGACTGTAACATTAATATTCTCGGAAAATGGCAAGTCAGATTGTCATATATACAGTATTATGCTTCATATACTTTATGTTATGGTGCCACAGTTGGCTGGTAGTGCCAGGGAGAGGAAGTTGTAGGGGGCGAGGTGAAGAGCAGGGCGGTGAGGACCCGCTGGTGACCCGGGTACTGACGCTACCAGGGTGTGTCTCCACCCTGGCGAGGGTGCCGGTAAGTCGGAGCCTTTCATGGCAAGGTTGGGAGTCTGCCAGGTCTCTATGTTACTCAGTGTTGGAGGGAGAAAGGTCTCTCTAGTACTATTATGTGGGAGTGAAACAGATCCCTCTATTATCTTAGGTGAAAATGAGAGCGGTTTCTCCAGGGAGATTGTGTGAGAGTGAGGCAGGTCTCGCCAATATCCTGTGTGGGAGTGAGGAATTTCCTATACCCAGAAACACGAGATTGAATATTGTTGTGTGTATGCTGACGAGGAGATCGACGAATTATGAACCTTTGCGCTCTCACAGACTTGCTCTTCATGGTTGTCAGCCACTCTGTCTCGCTGACCCGGGACTTACTTAGTGGCATGGTCAAGTGCACTACACAGACAGCACCAGAACACATTTTTCTCGTTAAGTCCCTGATCCCTTCTCTGTAGTATTCACAAACATCATCTTTACCTCACCATCAGCCTCTATAAACCTCTCTCCCTCACCTCCTTCCCTCTCCTCCCTCCCTCACCTCCTTCCCTCTCCTCCCTCCCTCTCCTCCTTTCCTCTCCTCCTCCTCCTCCCTCCTTCCCTCCTCCCCTCCCTCACCTCCCCTCCTCCTCCCTCCCTCACCTCCTTCCCTCTCCTCCCTCCCTCACCTCCTTCCCTCTCCTCCCTCCCTCTCCTCCTTCCCTCTCCTCCTTCCCCCTCACCCTCCCTCCCTCCGTCAGCTCTATATACCACCACCGAGGGCCTCTGTAAAGAGAGACGTGTAATATATATATTTTTTTGTCTCTCGTCTGTCGACTTTTCCAGGTGACGTAGCCACTTGCCCCGCGGGTCCTGGCGGCCTTGGCAAGAGTCTTATTGGCTCTGGGCAAGTGTCTGGTGGCCCTGAGCTAATGGTCTGGTGGCCCATAGCTTATGTCTGGTGCCCCTGAGCTAATGATCTGGTGGCCCTGAGCTAATGGTCTGGTGGCCCTGAGCTAATGGTCTGGTGGCCCTGAACTAATGGTCTGGTGGCCCTGAACCAATGATCTTGTGGCCCTAAGCTAATGCCCTGATGGCCATGAACATCTAATTCTCTGTGGCCTTGAGCTAATGGTCTGGTGCCCCTGAACAAGAGTCCTGTTGACCCTAGGCAGAGAGGTCGTGATGGAGCCGAGCACAGAGGGACGAGAGTCAGAGAGTCATAACACCGCTGACTGCTTCCTGCCATTATCCTACAACGTTTCCTTAATTTGGTGCCTCTTAGCCAAGGATGTCCAGGTCTTTTTTTATACACAACCTTGACTCGAAAACACTTCCGTACGATATCATGATTTTGGGGTCATTTTATTTATTTATTTATTTATTTATTTATTTATTTATTTTTGCATGCCTTGGTGCCCAGTTTGTCTTACATTGGCAATATCAACTAACTTAACCTAACATAAGATAATGTAACCTAATCTAACCCAAAACCCCCCACATCTAACAAACTTAACTAACCCCTATGATAAACTAACTAAACCCTCAAATTTAGTCTAAAAACGTGAATTAAGTTCCAATTCCTGATATATTTTTTTCCTTGCAATAACAAACTCAACCGTGGTAGTTCATATATGATGGTTCGTCAGTGTGTGTGTGTTAGTAATCAAGTTCGTAAGGATTATATGAATTATAAAAACGACGAACACAATTAAAATTATCAATGACTCGAGTTAGAATGATTAGATGTTATAAGAAGTGAATCAAGACAGTGTTATGACCATTGATTCCCCTCCCCCCTCCCCTCCCCTCTAACCCCCCCCCCCCCCTCCCCTATCTTAAGTGGGTGGGAAGAGGTTAAGTGGTGCTGTAGGTTGTTCTTGTGAGTGAGTGAGTGACTGTATGGAGGAGGTAAGGTGAGTGAATGACTGAGGTAGAAGAGTGAGTGAGTGAGTGAGTGAGTGAGTGAGTGAGTGTAGTGTAGTAGCAGGGAGTGAGTCAGTCAGTGAGTGTAATAGCAGTGAGTGAGTGAGGTCATTGAGTGAGTGAGTGAATGTATGAGTGAGTGCATGAGTGAGTGAATGAGTTTTGTAGCAGAGTGAGTGAGTGAGTCAACAGAGAGAGGCGGTGAATACATAACACTATTTTGTTATCAATGAGAACATAAAAGTTGAAATTAATTAGTTTGTTGTCATTTTTATAATTGCTCATCAGTACATTAATTAAGGCAATTAACATTATATCATATTAAATAACAAATTATATAGGTAAGATATTAATTAAATCAACCAATCATAATCGAGGGAATCATACGACGAAATTAGTCGTCTTTCTTGGTTATTGCAATTAAAAAGATAACGTATATAGGGTAAAAAATCACCTGTTATCAAAGTGCTAAATTTCTATATGATAAATCACACATGTACACCTGAAATTAATGTTGTAAATCACCTTTTGTTTTTGTAGTTGTGATGTTAAGAATTGTCATGTTGTTGACTCTTGTTGTTGTGTTTACAGTGCTCGCTCAGCTGACGGTGTTGGCCAATGAGACGGTGGAGGTGCCCTGCGACCTGTCCACGCGGGGGATGGCTGACGTGGCTATCATAGTCCTCTGGTACCGAGGGGCGTCACCTGCACCCTTCTACAGGCAGGTCTTCTGTTCCTGCCCTTATATATGTCTCTCATCTCTCCCTCTATTACGTCCTCTCACTCTTCTCTCACATGTCTCTTACCCCTTCCTTAGCTACGTCTCATTACCCCTCCCTCCCCCCACAAGGAACCTTCCATCTGTATATATATCTACGTCAACACTGTATCTACCAATCCATCCTGTAACCACTGTACCTTTGAGTTTCAGTATTTCACCACTGTAACCAAAGTGTTCTCCTGTCACCATTGCCCTCACATTTCGTACAGGTAACCGCAATATGTTTAACTTACCATCATCATATCTGCATATACTTGGAATCCTTATAATATCGAGAGTGTGATATTATTTCAACTTTTATCACTTTATATTGGTCAAATTTAATATCATCTTCCCTTTTCCCCTTTTCTTCCCCCTGCACCGTCGTTATCAAACATTCCTCGTTTCCTGGTTTATTGCCCTCTTGATGCCAACCCCTTTTCTCACACACACACAGTTCGTAGATACAAAAATGTGTTAGCCAGTTTGTCAGTTTCATTTTCCCTTTCCTGTCGCATCGCTGTGTATGTTTTCTATGAGCTGCACGCTGAAGTTTTCCTCCCCACGTGAAAACTGTGCCCCCAAAAATATATTCTCTCTGTTTATTCACTACAAAGGCAACACACTACTGAGTTCTGGTGTTTTCAGGAGTTTTCTATTTTGTGTTTCATGTTCTCTATTTTTTTGGAAGGGGGTTGAGGGGGGAGTACTCCTCATCAACAGGGTTTTACGTACTTTGGAAAATAGAACATTGCTCAATGAACTTTTGGCGTATTTTCATTCTTCTAAACTACACTATAACAATGGCTCTTCAATACAACACCTAAGACGATGCTGATAAAATTACAGATCTAGTATATCCATAGCACCCTAAACCTCGTCTAATAGAAATTAATCTTAAAAAAAAATATCTATATATATAAAAAGATCCACCTTATCCACTGAACCTATGTTTGTACACCACGCCTAGACAGCTTACACGATCAAAACGAACGCTAAAGTCAAGCTGAGCAGGATGGTATTCTAGCCCTTGATCGGAAGCATACTCAAGTTTATGACCGGTGTATAAGCTGCTACTTCTGGGAGGGAAAAAATCATCACCCAATGCGTGCTTGTTTAAACGAGATAAGTGAAGTACCTCTAAACCCTTCAATATAATCATGGGTTATAGGAATACCTTAGTAAAAGATGGGGAAGAAAATAGAGGTTGTTTGTTACATAAATATTCACGTGATAAGTTTAATTCTCTAGTGATAAAGGTAAACTGCCATTGTATATATTTCATAAAAATTAACACAAAGTTTGGATGCCAGAAATACATCAATTGTCAAATCCATAAGAAAATTAACACCTGGGATGGACTTATACCTTAGTGATTAAACATATGTATACCTGAAGCTCAAAGTAATGCGATAAATAGGAGATAAAACTGGTAAGAGAGATGTTCAAACTTTATTTACTTTCCTTCGTGTAAAAAAGTTAGAAGAAAATATACAGTGTGTCCTTCGGTTTATAAGTCTAAACATTTTCCCTCGCTATACCACGATGATCCAGAAACTAATAAGAATTCCTAAGTTAAACAAACTTTGGCTGGCAGGTGAGCCTTGAGGGCCGTCTTATACACTTTAATTTACTTTTATCCCTCAACTTTTTGTTTTTCGAGTGAGTGAGTGAGTGAGTGAGTGAGTGAGTGAGTGAGTGATTGAGTGAGTGAGTGAGTGAGTGAGTGAGTGATTGAGTGAGTGAGTGAGTGAGTGAGGCAGCAAAGTAAGTAAGTAAGTGGGTAAGTAATTCAGTCAGTGTTTCCTTAAGGCGTTTGCAACAAAACAGGAGAGTTAAAAAGGTTCAATCCCCCAACACCCTTCCCCTGTCGGGTGATGTTGTTTACAGAATGAGAATAATCGGGAAAGAAATAATATGGAAACAAGACGAAATTTTTCTGTTTATGTAAGGTCAAGTTGGTGAAAGGTACTGCAACAAGTTTAAGAGATTGTGATGAACATTCAGGAGTACTATAGGGCATTAGGTTACTGTGTACATAGGAAAACAATATCTAGATAACACACACACACACACACACACACACACACACACAGACACACACACACACACACACACACACACACACACACACACACACACACTGATATGCTGTTTCCTTCATTATAACCTTTCATTATTTTAATTATAAATAAGTTTAATTCCTTGTGTCTTGATAAAATAAATTCTGTATTTTTTTTTTTTAATTTCCTTAAAATATTTCGTTTCATGTTATTCACACTGTGTAAAATTCAACATTCTTTTTCCCATTTTTTTTTTGTGTGTTTTAATCCATTTATGTCATTTGAGTCAGGGACACACACGCCAGCTGTTGTTGTTTTTGTTGTTATTGTAGTTGTTTTGGTTGTTGTGGTTGTTTTTGTTTTTAATTTTGTAGTTGTTGGTGTTGTCTACAGTGATTGAAAAAAAAGAGTTATTATTACAGGTTAATTTATCCTTTTAAGACGCGATTCTTCCATTAGTATTACCATCATCACCATCACGACAACTACTATCAACATCCACCAACACCACCACCACCATTAGCACAACGACAACCACCATCACCACCACGTAAGCCTTTTCATCCCGTCACGAGGCTTGACTTGGCAGGAGGCCAGGAGAATTAGTTACCCTGTGCTTACTACTACTACTACTACTACTATTACTACTATTACTACTATTACTACTACTACTACTACTCATTCTACTACTACTACTACTACTACTACTACATCCAAACCTATGATGATTACAGCTGTTTTGATACCACATCGTCATCATCATCATCATCATCATCATCATCATCATCATCATCATCATCATCATTATTATCATCATCACCACCACCACCATCAGCATATTAGCAGCAGACAGACATACAAACGAAGCATCATAAAATAAACAGTCGTTACTTATATAAGCTCAGAGAAAGAATCACTAATGAAAACAAAAATTACTATGCTACCAGAACAACAATTATATACAACTATTATAATACAGACCATCGTAATTAATTATATAGTCTCGAAACTAATTTGGTTATTATCCATCAAAGCATCTCATCGGCAGTAATTAATTATCATATGTCACCTTTCTCACCGTAAGCCAGGTAGGTAAGGAATGTGTAATTTCTTAAGGAGTTATTCATTATAATATGCCTCTAACGTTACACATTACTCTCAAAATTATTTCTCTTCTCGTAAAAACAGCGACTGGAGAAACAATTTTGGATTTATATTCTACTAGATATTGAGTCTTGAGTGTATCATTCATTGTAGAGCTATACAGTCAATAACAATGTATGAAACGTGAATAAATATGAATTAATGTAAAGAATCTCGAGAGTCATTTGACAAGGTGTGTGCTCTCCTCCCACGCTGATTGAGGTGATGGTAAAGTACGGTATGGAAGGTTATATTTGTTTGGTCCTAAGACGATGTGTACTTTCTCCTAATGGTAAGTCAAAATATGGAATTTAGTTTGAGAATTATAGAGAATTTGTTGTACACGAGGTTGATTAGTACCATTTCTTCTTCTCACTATCACCAATATCATCACCACTACCTAACACCGCTAAACCAGCACCATCACCACTACCTAACACCGCTAAACCAGCACCATCACCACCACCACCACTAACACTATCAAAATCATCACCAGCACCACAAGCACCAACAGAACCACCACTATCACTATTACCATAACTACTACTACTATTACTACCATCACCGCGAACACCATAACCATCACCACTAACACCATTACAACCACCACCATCACCAACCACTATCGCTACCACCACCACTACTACCACCATCAACCACCACCGCAATAAGCCATATCATACCGTCACGCTGGCTCCACTTGGCATGAGGCCAGGGCGGTTTCCTCTACCACGCCCCTGCTGCTGCTGCTGCTGCTGCTATGGCGATCAAGACTGTGGTATCGCAATGTCTAGCACCAATACCATCACCACCATCACCACCATCACCACCACTATCACCATCATCACAATCACAACCATCACCACCACCACCATCACAACCACCACCATCACCACCACCACCACCATCACCACCATCACCACCACCACCACCATTAACACCACCACCACCACCACCACCACCATCACCACTAATACCATCACTACCACTAACACCATCACCACCACCATCATATCCTCCACTCCTGTCATAATCTTGGTACTTATGTTCATCCATGCCAGGTTTTATCACCCCTCGTATACTGTACAGTAAGGCATGGCAACACGTAATCACTAAACCTTGACTACTATAAACACAATTAAACTACCATGTGGATAAGAATAACACTGTTTTGATAAGGATCCATCACTCACTCAGTCAGTAGATAACACACACACACACACACACACACACACACACACACACACACACACACACAGAAAGACAGCGGACGTCACATAGATAAGGACACACTGGATAGATAAGGGGGACAGGGGGACATCTTGCAGATAACAACTATGTAACAAACAAAAGTAAACTAGATAAGGGTGTTTCTAGTGCTCTTGGATGCCATCGTCTAGAGGAGAAATTTTTCCACAGACTATAGAACTTTATACGATCTATTGCGGGAATAAACATAAATGAGTGATGTAATAGTGTTGGCAGTAGTAAGATAAGAAAGATTTGACACTCACCATTGATTGGGTATCTGAAAAAGGGTGAACTCTCCAGCACACTGCCAGAATTCTTTTAGTTAAGAGAATAATTAAATAAGTAAATACTCAATTTCACTAACTCTGAAGGCAATATTTGTTTCACTCTATTTTGATTTAAAACACAAAAACACAACACAGAAACAAACAACCCTGCCACTACTCCACTACCACCCCACCACCACCACTCCACTACCACCCCACCACCACCACTCCACTACCA